ACAGTGAGAGTAGTTGTTAGGGCTGACTGGCTGGAACTGAGGGTGGAAGGGGGCTTGGCCCGCTCTCCAAGCTGCTGGGCTCCCCTCACCAACCCAAGGCTTTATCAGGGCCCAGCCTCTCTCTCCCAGCCTACCCGGGTTCTTCAGACCCCAGAGAGGATGGAAAGACTAGGAAAGAAAGGGCTGGAAAGCTTAAAATGGAAGAGGTGAGGCCTTCCTACCTGGTCTTGATGCTGACCTGCGATGTCGCCTTGGTCAAAGGCCTGTGGGGGCTCTCTTACCCCCCTGCAGCCCCCACCACCCCAGGCAGCAGCCAGCCAGTCCTGGAACCATGGTCTGTCTGAATCTTCCCACAGCTTCAGGTCTGGGGGAAAGTGCGGCTGCAGCTATTGCTTAAATTTAGTGAATTCTCCCATCAGCCCGGACTCACCGTCCCCACGTGGGGAAGGAGAACAGGTGCTGCCACCAGCCCTGCTGATGTGAAGTTCCCCTGTCATCATGCCAATCCATCCTCTCCTCCGACCCAGCACCCCGTGCCCTACCTGCCCCCTGCCCCCAACCTGATCTCAGATCAATAGAAGGACTCTCCCTAACCTCCCTCCTCTCTGGCTCGGGGACTCTTGTAGGACATAAAGGTCTTACTGAAGTCTATTCAGACTCCTTCCTGCTTCCATGTACCTGCCTCCTGTTCTGTGTTCAGCGCATTTGGAGCAATGGCATAAGGGGAACAGATCCCTACCACCTCCCTCCTCAAGCCTCTCCCCTCCTGCTTGAGGCCCGCGTCCCCAGCTGCCTAGTGGACAGAGTCGGGCTACCCCAGCAACACGCTGCCTCCATTTCTCTGGCAGCAGCCCTGGGTTTTCCTCCAGCTCCCTGGGAGGAGGCCAGGGTGTCTCTTCTTGGGTGCTACCAGAGTTGTGAGGGAGCTGCAGAGGAAGCAGCTCTTCCCCACTGCCCTTCTCCCACCACGCCCAGGCTGGGTCTTGTCCCCGGCTGGTCCCAGCAGCCCGCCTTCCCCACATCACATCTCCCGTGAGTGCCATCAGCGGGGTGGGGGGTTAGGCCTCCAGAGCTGCTGTCCACTCCCTGAGCCTGCCTCTAGCTCCTGCTAGCCAGCTCCTTCCCTCAGCTCTCCCCAACCTTGACTTTGGCTGTGCTGCACCACCCACTGGCTCACAGGGGCTGCCGGTGGGGGTGGGTGGCTGGCCTAGGCTCTCCTGATAGTTGGAAGAGCAACAGCTTTCTCCTCCTGCCAAGAGCACGGCATCCATCCTTCCCCGGCCGCCACTCGAAAGAGCTGTCTTCATCTTTGAATGCATAGCCAGCTCAACCAAGTGTGGGGAGGGGCACATTAGCAATCTGACCCCTTCACACATGCTGTCAGGAGGGTGAGCATCCTGGGGATGGGGATTAGGGCAGGATGGAGGGCTAGGTTTGGAATTAGGGGGTGAGTGTATTGGGAGGAAATGAGGGTTATAGCTGGAGTTGGGCCTAGGCCGGGGGCTAAGCTGAGTGGGAAGCTGTTGTGGTGAGCTCTGCAGGCACCGGGAGCCAAGAGAAGGGCCGGAATGCATGCTCCCGCCCTGCTCTTTCCCCTAAACAGGCTTCAGGAGCCTGGCAGAGCAGCAGTTCTCTGATCATGCCTAGTCACCCCACTTCCTAGGCCTGAGGCTCTCAAATACCCTGACCCAAACCCTCAGCATTTTCCCATCAGGCAGCTGGCTCTGGGGGAGTCACCTGAGCTACAGCATTGCACAGTTCCTGGGGGTGCATCCCCCACATAGTCTGTGCAACTGGAGCTCCTGGGTGTTGTACGTTGTGCAGCCCGTGAAGCCGTACCCCGCAGCCCTGGGGCTGGGCACTCTGCAAAATGAGGGGCTGTGAGCCCTGGGCCCCAGACCTGCCTCCTCATGTCTCCCAGCACCGGTGCCCTCTTGACCTTACCCAGGGGGTTCAAAGCAGAAGGTTTGGGTGGCAGCTCCTATCCCGACACAACGATGTGGCCCCAGCCGATCCGGCCTTGGCTTACCTGCCTGTAACAGGGAGCTCATTCGCCCCCAGAGCTGGCCCTTGCTCCCTGCCACGGGGCTCTGCCACTTTGCCGCCCTGGCACTGGCCCTGCTGGCGCTGCTGGGGGCTCTGGCCCAGGTGGACGCCCAGAAGATGATCAGAGCCCAGTGCAAGGTCCGGCCTACAGCCTGCTACTCCTTCCGCTTCCTCAGGCTGCCTGCACTTTCTCTCAGCCACTGTCTTCAGCCCCCACAGGTGGGAATGGGCCCTGGGGGGTGGGAGGGAGGACCAAACGAGATCTGAGGAGATCCACCAGCTCTCCCTGGGCTCAGGGAGCCCCAGCAGGGGCTGGGCCTTGTTCCCTGGAGCCCAGACTTCAGAGACCCTGCAGGTGTGGCTGGGGGGTGCACAGGTGAGTGCGCACGGTACCCGAGAGTGAGCGGGAAGAGCGCTGAGGTTTGGGTATATGAGGAGGGTCTCTGGAGAGCAGGGAGGGTTCTTAATAGGCCCGAATCCAAGGTCTCAAGCTGATCACAGTTAACCTTAGGAGGCGCCTTAAGGACCATTTCCCTGGCCACACGGAAGTGGGACCTGGGTCAGAATGCCTCTGGGGGAAGGAGGAACTTGGCCGAGGGCAGAGGGGCTTCTGGACAGAGCTTCTGACAGCCGGCCAGGGCGTCAGAAGACCTGCTCTGAACCCCACTGACCCCTTTGTCTGTCTGTCTTCCCAGACTTCCCTCAGCCCGCGTCTTCTAGATCTTAATGTAATCCTTAGCCCCCAACTAAAAGCCCTGGGCCTGGGTCCTGATGTTGGCGATCCCGCTGGTTTGTGTGTGATCTTGGCTGCTCTCTTCCCCATCCTCCTCCATAGAGGATCCTTCCAGCTTCAACTTCCACACTCCCCTTGAAGCTTTTAAAATGACTTATTTGATCTTCCTTCTCCCTGCCCACAACCAACATACACATCCACGCATGCCGCAGGCATCCCCCTGCCGGCTGCCTGGCTGGGTGTGGCACTGACCGTGCCGTGGGGCCAGTGGGGGAGTGGGGAGTGGCAGGAGAGGCCGGAGAGGGGAGCAGCACATCATGCTTTATAATTAAACTCAAATCAAAAATAGAAACAGCAGCAAGTGCGCAGAGACAAGCGGCTGGAAGTCAGCAGCACTACGTGCCTGTCAGACAAGACCAGAGCCCGGGCCAGATCCCCCCGCAGGTGGGTGAGTGCCCCTCCTTCAGGGGTGCACAGAGCTTGCTGGGTAGTGAGGGCCAGGGCACCTGGGCCTGCGTGTATTGTGGCGGGGGTGAGGGGGACTGGGTTAGATTGGGGGATGGACGGGTCAAATAAAGGCACAGACAAAGCCTCGCAGAGTCAGAAAGACCTGCGCTTGAATCCCGGCTCCCATGCTGTTGGCTGTGTGACCTTGGGTAAATCGCTTAATCTCTCTGAGTCTCGGCTTCCTTCCCTGTAAAATGGGGATCATGATATTACCTGCCTCTTAAGGGTACTGTGAGGATTCAGTGAGAACATGTGAACACTTAGCTCTGGCTGGTACCTAGTGCATCCTTAGTGAGAGGTGAATGTAACAGTAGTCATCGAGACAGAGAAAGAGACATCAGGGGACACAGATAAAGACCACGCCTCACTGACCCATGGGAAAGTCGCCCTCTACCCGGGATATGGCTCGGGCTTGAATAGGTAACGGTAATAATAGCGGTGATAACAACAGTAAGATGTCCCATTTATTGGGCAGCTACCATGAGGCAGAGCCTGTGGGACGTGCCTTCCATTCATTACCCCGTGGGGTCCTCACAGCAGCCCCACTGAGGACACTGGCTCAGAGGCGTGCACACAGATGCCAGCACCAGGCCCAGGTCTGCCCTCCTCCAAGGCCTGCAGGCTGGGGACAAACCCACCAGCCGCTCACCACTGGCAGCCTGTGAACACCGCTCTCAGGCTTCCTTCGCCAGGCTCCGCAGAGATCTCCCGCCCCACCTGTCCTGAGGCTGCAGTCTCACCTGGTCTGCCTGTGGGGGAAGGAGGGGCAGAGAGAGCGAGCAGCAGGGGAAAACAGGGGGGACAGCTCCTGGGGCTGAGCAAGGAGGTGGGTGGCAAACAGCTGCTGCCCTGAGACAGTGGGCCTGGCCTGAGGCCACCAGCAGGCAGGGCTGCTGGGAGGCTGTGGAGCAGCCCAGCCCCTGGGGAGGATGGGAGACAGAGGCCACGGGAAAGAACACAGCGAGGAGGAGAGAGGCAAAGGCAGAAAACTGTGTGAACCTGTCATCAACAGTGACACAACAGCAGGCAGAGCTGGTGCCTGCAGAGGCAGCTGTTGGCTTCGGGGGAGATGCAGGAAGGAGGCCCGGAGTGCATGGGGGGCGCAGCCAGGCTGGCCCTGTCCCTGAGGGAGCTGGGCCCTGCGTCACCCTCAGGTGGCTGAGGAGATTGGGAGGATGTGTTAGGCAAGGTCCCTGGCAGTCCAGGTCTGTGGGTGGCAGAAACCGGGGGGAGCTGCTGTAGCCACCAAGTCCCTGTCTGTGGTTGTGCCTGGAGCGTGAAGAATGTGTCGCTGGGCAAGCGGCTGCCCACGGTGAGCTGTCAGTGGGTTTGTCCCCAGCCTGGAGGAGGGCAGACGTGGGCAGTGTTCCTAGGCCTGGTGCTTGCATCTGTGTGCACGTCTCTGAGCCAGTGTCCTCAGTGGGGCTGCTGCGAGGTAACACATGGAAGGCACTTCCCACAGGGGCTGGGCCTGCCTCCGCTGGCAAAGTGGGATGGGTAGACAGGTGGGGGATCCATCCATGAGCATCAGGAGGGAGGCCCTTAGCTGGGGTCTGACGAGGAGTACCCCTTAGTCCAAGGGAAAGGTGCCATTCTCGAGACCTGGGCCTAGGTGCCCTAGGAGGCTGAGGCGGGGCTGTGCCTGAGGAACCCCAGATCCCTGATCCCTCTGCTGTCTCCTCCTCTGCCCAGGAGCCTCTGGAGGAGCAGGGTCCAGCTCCCTCAACCGAAGCCTGGCTGCCTACTCCCAGGCACAGCTGGGCTGCGAGGCACCCATTGGCCACTGGGGGGCAGCCTTACCCCACGCCAAGCTCAGAGACCTGAGTCCCATCTGCTTTGCCTGGGGCTCAAGGACCAGCTGGCAGCTCCAGACCAGTGTGGCTTTTGGATGATTCTGGAGCCCGGGG